TCGATTGTATCGACCAGTATTAGATGAGGAATGTTTGCTTGAATATACATATTATTTATCTCTGGACAACTAACATAAAAAGAACACTATTCAATGAATGTTATGCACTTGTGCATTCGAACATAACTTATGTTTAGTGCGTCTATTCCCATCTTCTCATTAGTTCTATAAAGACTACCAAAAACTTTAATCGTATCGCACTGGGTTTTAAAAAGTCGGGCATCGTCTTATGTTTCGCCATTAATCTAAATTTAATATAGAGTGTGAAAAGTGCATCAATCCATAATAACAGATTTATCTTCAAAGCTAGAAGATCCTCACAATCAAGAGATAAAGAATCCCTTCACATATACATTTTAGATTTAGAGAGACTCCTTGCCTAAAAATAGACTGGCTGGAGATTATTTTTAAAAGGCATGTTAATAAAATTTATATGAACATGATATATTATTTCTCTCATTTGGGAATATACATATTTTTTGATCACATTAGCTTATAGAATTGGTGTGATTCGTATGTTTAGAACAGCAAAGAGTATTTGTGATATAATTGAAGCAAATCGTTGAGACTTATTAGTAATTAACCTTCATTTTGACCAGGGCTATCATTTAAAAAAGCGTTGTATTCATCAAAAAATAGTTTGGAAAGCAACAAATCTGTATCAATAAATTGTAGCATTCTGACACTACATGCTGTTTTGTGAATATGGTGAATTATAAAAGAATGTTTGGTTGATATTTTAAAACAAAGAACTATTTCATCTGAATTTCACTTTTAAATATTTTATGTTATCTATAGCGTTTATTACATACGCTATCCGGAGAATTCAGTAAAAGAAAATGTAGTAGAAGTTATAAATAGAACATTGGCGTTCGGAATGATTAGGAAAATAATGGCCAATTCAACATTAGCTAACATGCTAACTCGATTGGCAACATAAGTATCATTATAATATGCCAGGAAGGAATGTAGTCAATTTAAAAATTACCTTGAGTATCATAAAACAGTAGACCAGTCGAAGTTTTTAAGAACGGAACACATTGATTCAATCAAGATAATATGTTTATGTTTACAATACCATATGTTATAGTCTAAAATTATACTCTTTGAAATAATACCTTTTGTTTTTATTTTTAGAATTAAAAATTTTAATTTTTTATATATTATCAGTTAAATATTTAGTTCTTACAGAAGCATCCCATCATCATTAGAGGGTTTATCTATAAAAATAATAAGAATGATTAGAACTTTGCAAATAATCTCAGGGGCTGTTTGAAATTATTTATATTGATGAATAATTTCAAAAAATAAAAGTTTTTACAAATTTCTTAGAATAGAACGTGTGCGATTATTTTAAAATAAGGAAGATTTTATATCTTTTTGTTTGTAGACTTATGAATACATCATAAGAATGAACTTGTTTGTAAAAAATTAATAGAATCATGCATATAATATTTAATCTTATATACATCCCAAAACATTTTAAAAATTAGTATTTTTAACAAAATTATAATCGAGAGCCTTTTAAAGAAAACGTGCTATTGTGGATTAAAAAATCATATAAAATCGCGGCAACCGTTAAATAGGTACTTATACACAAGTTCCATTTATATATATCTTGCTAAATATATGGTATGATAGTATACGAATGATTATTTAAATCAATCTTATTTGTAATTAAGTTATTTTCTTGAGTAATTAATATATTTAATTCATTTTTATCATGCCAATTCCATTTTCAATACGAGTTGGTATAAATTGATCATAAAAGTTTTAGAGAGCATATAGTCCTTCGTCCTTTATTTTTTACTAACATATTGTTCATCATAGTTTGAAGTATGTTGACACTGTGGATGGTTTTCAAAGACATGACTTACTTTATTAATTAACTGCACCAAAGTTTATAATACAATGATGCCTGTTTGAAATAAGTATCGGGGAAATACTTTGTCACAAACGGTTGATAGAAATTATTAAAAGACATATTATGATATTTAGACAAAAGAATACATTGAAAAGGCAAAACTTAGCGATCAAATTTATTGCGATAGGGATTTCTATGTCGTCTATGGAACGTATAGTTTCATGAAAAGTTAGACTTATTGGTTTAATAGTCAAACTTCGGTACTAAAATACATTCACCAGGTAGATGATCGCATGATAATGCATCGATAAATTATTTAGATGTCCATATTTCACTCGAAGCCCTTTTCTACGAGTTTAGGTTAAAATTGCAGAAAGAACACGTGTTATTTTTATGGATTGATTTTTCGATAGCTAAAATTACAAAACATGTAAGTAAAGAGAGGAATTACTTAGCCTATATGTTTCCTAAATTAATTACTAAAATACGCAAAGTGGAAATTTTGTCATAAATAAGCGCAAGTTAGTTCACGATACCATAAAAAGCGAAATTACCAAGTATGAGCGCATACATTATCAACACTATCAACCCCTTTCAATCGCTAATTTTGAAATTTTCAACCTGGTTTTAAAAAGAAAATGATACTCATTGATATAAAATAGCCAACAAATTTGATTTACAATCTCCAAAAACATCTACATAGTTAAAATTGATTGGGCAATTTAATTTTTCCAACGAGCGATACATATTATCATAAGACGATTGGAACATAAGAATTGTTTTTGAAGCATAATTTGAATAAAATAGTTGTAGAAATTCCAACTTGTTTTAATTAAAAATTTCAGATGCATTCCTTCTTATATCAATATGTGTTGTAAGATGATAACTTTTGACAGTAATAAAATTAAATACAAAAATTACTGAAATGATCAAGTTGATTAAGTAAATATAAAAGACTGTATACTTCTATGAATATTG